TTTTAAATAGTTGATTTGATATTAACATTGATAGATTTTTTTTTCAAATTTTTATTATATTTTCAATTTTATATTTTATTCAAAAATAAAATCATTATTGTTTTCTTAAAAACATATAAAATCGTATTATAACATCTATAAAGACAAATAATAAAATAGAACATTAAAATCGAAATGTGTCTCGCTGCATTGTACGAGTACTCTTCTAATATATATATATATATATATATATATAGGCCTAATCAAATGAAAACTGATTAGTTTGTGGTAACTGTGAGGTTCAATCTCAAACACAAATCAACGGATAAATTTTGAAATTAATAATTATGGTAGTTTGAGTTAAAATTATAATTAGAGGGCATATTAGATATTTTTAAAAAACTTCTCTCTCCTCTCTCATCTCTCCGACTTCCAATCTCCGGCCTTTGGTGAGATCGGTATCACAGTATATCACAATGGGTATCACATTGTGTATCTTTGTTTTTAAGGTTTTGAGTTGGTATCATAGTCGGTATCACAGTATATCACAATGGGTATCACATTGTGTATCTTTGTTTTTAAGATTTGAGTTGGTATCATAGTTGATATCACAATGGTTTCACAATATATCACAATGGGTATCACATAGTGTATCTTTGTGATTACTTGGTACCTGCTGGATTAATGTTCAACGGAGGCCGGAGATTGGAGGTCGGAGAGATGAGAGAGGAGTTTTTAAAAAATACCTAAAAAGCCCTCTAATTATAATTTTAACTCAAACTACCATAATTATTAATTTCCTAATATATCCGTTGATTTGTGGTTGAGATTGGATCTCACAGTTACCACAAACTAATCAGTTCTCCCTTGAATGAGCCCATATGTATATATATATATATATATATGTGTGTGTGTGTGTGTGTGTGTGCGCGCGCATGCACGTGCATGCATGTTTCTGTGTTTGTGAGAGAGAGAGAGAGTTTGGCATGGGAAATGTAAAATTCATGTAATATAAAGTAGCATTCACATATATTATATGAATGTACTTTTATATTGTGTGAAGACATGTGAAGATAACTACCTTCATAGAACCTGATGAAGGTACACATTCATGTAGGGGTGTTCACGGTCCGATTTGGGCGGTTTAACCCCTCAAACCACAAACCAAACTATAATGGCGGTTTATAAAATTTTCAAACCGAGCGGTTTGACATCAAGTGCCCAGACCGGTCAAACCAGACCACGAAAAGGCGGTCTGGTCTGACCGGTTTAGGCGGTTTGGGCCTTTAATGGACTTTAAATATTAAACTTAAAAAACATATATAATTTAAAATTTTAGATTAAATATCCATTTTAACAAAACAAAATATATAAACAAATAAATGTAATAATTAAGCAGCTCTTGATTACAAAGTCGAAGCAATCCAAAGTACAAACAAATAAATATATAACAATTAGAAAACAAACAAATTAACAAAATACACGACTTCACAACCTTCAATGGTTCAATTCTTGAGTCTTGAGTTTTTGCCCAAACAAAATAGAAGTCAAATCTAAGTTGGTTGATGTCTTGATGATGTGCGCCGAAATCAAACCATGGATTAGAAAGATCAATAGATTGATGGAGTTATTGAGGGATTTCAAAATTTGGAGACCGTCAATAT